GGGTGGCTAATTTAGTTTTAGTTTTAGTTTCAGTAGAGGTTTTACCACGCTCGCAACTGCATAAGGTCAAATGAGTGCCAAAAGATTAGAGGTGTTGCAAAAGAGTAACAAACATAAAAAAGAGGGGGAGATAAGGAAGATAGATGGTTTTTTAAAGTTTTAATAGAGGTTTTACGGCGCTCGCAACTGCATAAGGTCATAGGAACGCCAAGGGGGGGATGTCAACACAGAAGTCCTTACAAGGAATCAGACTTACTCTGCTCACCTCTCTAGCTTCAACAGCACAAAGTCTGTTTCGACTATCAAGGCACCCCGGAAATAGTGGGTCACAAGAGTGTGACAAACATACAAAAGAAGTAAAGGAAAAATGACAAAGCAGCAGTTCCCTGTTGTAGATCAGGTACAGTTTTGAGCGTGACATTGATGAATCAGCCCATTTACAATTCTACTTTGCATGAACGAGAAATGTCCCCCCTTTTGGGAATGACCTAGAGACACTTCAGTCAGTGGCACTGCCCCGAGGGGTGAGTATAGAGAGAGAAGCATATCAACTTATTAACAGTTATTTAGGGAGGGGGGGAAGCTACAGATGAACCGAGACAGCAGACAAAGAAGAATGAAGGAAAACCTACTACTGACACCCTCTGACCACCAATTAAATACAACTGTCTGGCATCCTTGTGAAATCAGGCACTCGTTGAAACGACGAAAATTAAGAAACTGAAATTTTCCACATATTGGACAATTTTTGTGGAAATTCTTGTTTTGGACTTTATTAAGAAACATATTCCGGCGAGAATTAAAAAATTTCCAAGAACTCTAGAGCTTTTAGAAGTTACCAGACTTTTGCAGCCATTTTCTCGTTACTTCTACCTCTGAGCCCCCATCTCCTTGAATCGCAAATATCTCGACTTCTATTCGAGATAGACGAGTATTTTTCTTCATCAAAAGCAAGGCAAATGAACAGACTTATGATATCAGTAACTCCATGAGCCCAAAAACAAACGAGTGCCTGATTTCACAGTGTTGTGACACATTTGTCTAATAAGTACAATTTGGGTTTTAATAAATACAAGCACATCGAAACTGCAAAGGTCATTTAGTGTATGTATGGAAAAATAGAGGTGGACAGACAGAAACAACTGGGAGGAACGAAAAAAAGAAAGTGGACCTTCCACCAGTGGTACCCTCCACTCACCTGATAAGTACTTTCGTGTAATCGGCATAGAATGGAAATATTAAAAAGAGAAACAAACACACCCCAAAACACACTCAAACTCCCCCCAAAATGTACAAACAATGATTGAGTGAAAATTTTATATCTTTAAAAAAAACCCAACAAATCCACAGACATCACTGAATATAAGGAAACCACAACAAACAAAAAAACCACAAAAAAACAGAACCTAAAACATATATATATATAGGTCAGATCAGTCAGACAGTGCAAATGAATGTGACGAAGGGTGAGAAAAATTATGATCGGGAGAGTTTGATTCGAACTTTAAACCTCCAGGTCCTCGAAGGTCCTCGACAAACTAACTGTTACCCCCTGAGCTCTAACAAAGGTGTAACGCATAAGAAGAACACACAGTCAAAATTCATAATAGACACATACTCCATCAATTTTAAATGCCTGCATGTCAATTTGATTCAGTCATTTCAAGTAAAGAGAAGAACAGTGATACAACACCCATTTAGTGCTGGAAAAAAAGCAAAACAGATAGTAAATCGAGTGACACAGCTGAAGGGAAAATTAAAAAATGGGATGTACCAGAGCCAGTGGCGCCTTCCAACCACTAGTTGGAACTTTTGAGATTTCAGTAACAGTAAAGTATGGCACAAAAAAATTATTTTAAAAAATAATACAGGATGAAAAGTCGCATAAATCTATACACTCTTATGGGTTTTTTATCCCCCACTCAACCTGAAAACAGGATCAAACAGTGACTCATTTTTGAGACAGCAATTACGGAGTATAAAAAAGTGACAACCAAAATAAAAAGAAAACTTGGCAGGCGATTCTTTCAACAACAAAAAAAAGAAAGATTCATAAAATAAAGACAAGGATATGAAAGGTAAATGGGTAAATGACTACAATAAATGACCGCCACAACACTTGACCAGATGGTACAAGTGTGACTAGCAACGGTAATATGTCACTGGCCGTGATATGTAACCAGAAATACAAACTGACTGTGCCAAAAAAAACAACAACATTCGAATTTGAAAAATGAATAACGGAGGTTCAGAATCATTTAAAGGGTGCACAGTTATATTAAGGAGTCTGAAGTCCATAGTTTAATTTTCAGTTTTTCGTTTGTTTCGTATAAATCTAATCTTGGGAAAGTCTGTCTTCTAAGACGCCATTGTAAACAAGTGAGGCTTCCATTCACAAGCAGTGTGCACTGAACCACAATGATTTGACGATCGATTCTTTTGAGTCCGTTCATCGAACCGGTACCATATATAATTTATATTTATAAGGGCGAGTGACTGTCAGCACGCCTGAGCACATGCAAGTGAATGTGTTAGGGCTTGGGTGATAACATCATAAATATTCAAGCTCACATGGGAGGAAGTGTGTGTGTGTGTGTGTGTGTGTGTTTGTGTATGTGTGTGTGTGTGTGTGAGTGTGTGTGTGTGTGTGTGTCCTCATGCAAGCGAGTGTGTTTATGCCTGTGTTATTGCATGAGTATTTGGGCACACATTGGTAGGAGTGGGTGAGTGTGTGCATTTGTGCGTGCGTTAGGTATGTGTGTCTAAATGCGTACAAGTGCATGAAAAATCAGTTTTGTTTACATAAATGAAGTAAGCATGAAATGTCCAAAGAACGCATGGCAAAAATATCATGTTTAGGCAGCAAAGTTTTACCTCTATGGGGGTCAAGAAAGAGATCAATTGTCTGAGACTTGTACCTCCCTTTGGCAGTCAAGACATGAGCTCAATGCTGCCTCAAACTAACTCCATTTTTCTGATTTTGACGTAGATTCTAAATCATTTTGAACGCAATGAATGCCAGTTACAACCTCCCCCCCCCTTCCCCCCCAAAAAAGAAAACGGGAGATAGTACAAAATGAAACTGTAATTCTTAGGAAAACAGAATTTTACCACAGTAACAGTGGGCCAAAAGGGAAGATTCTTCAACAGCCTTGACAGCTGTGACAAAAACTACGAAGTCAGAAACTGGAGTTAGTACGAGATGGCACTCGGATCACAAAAGAGTCAAGTTTTGATTCATATGGCACCTCCCACCTAATAGCCCGTGTTGTCTGTTGTCATGGCAGGATGGGGAGCAAAATGGCACCTCACGAGAAAAACTAGACACAAAAGAGGGACTACAGATGAAGGAGGGGAAGAAAGGGCAGTGGTCACAATCCTCTATTTTTATTGGAGGCGTCTCCTCTTGACGTTTCGTTTGGCCTGTTCCCTTTTGTCCATCAAAACTGCAGTCAAACCTGCTCCATCAATGGCCACCTGTCCAAGACAATCACCTTTACAATTGATTTGATCACTACCCATCACCCTCCCCCTGTGTTTTTTATTTAATGTTATAACGACACTGTCCTAGACATCCACCTGTCTAAGACACCACTTCCATCCCCGACTATGGGTGACTGTCCTAGACAACTTCAGCTGTATAATTTATCCAGACAGCCAGACCGGCCTCTGTAGTCACAAGCTAGTGTCACAAATAAGACAGTCAAGCCGGAAAAAAAAAGACAGTAATCCATACATCTCCATGAAAGAAGGATTTTTGTCCACAACCACTTTTCAGCAACAACTGCCCCTAACATCTCCCTCAATCTTAAACCAAAATGCGGACAGGGGGTTTCAGATCATACCAGTATCTCTGTCAATCAGACAGACAGACGGACTCGGACATCTACATCTTTGTCTGTCAGACAAGAACTTCACATTTACCCGTATTTTTATGTCAGACAGACTGACTCAGATGATGTAATCTTCCAAAGAAGAGAGACTTCTTCTTGCATTTGTGAGGCACCGTGGTGAAATCAGGCGCTCATCAAATTAATGAAATCGAAGAGCATGGCATTTTTCCAATAGTTTGGCAATTTGTGTCGAATTTTTTTATTTTTTAGCTCAACGCCATTTATGTCCATTTAAAAACATATTACTTAGGGGACTTTACTCAAAAACGGTGATTAAAGGTACAAAAAAATGTAAATTTTTCAGTTTCCAAGGGCTCTCAAGCTATGGAGATCATTAAACTTTGGCGGCCAATTTCTCCATATTTTTATCTCTGAAACAAGGTGACCCTACCCACTTCAATCGCAAATTATCCCGACCTCTATTCAAAATATATTTTTTTTTTTTTTTCATTGAAAGCAAGACAAATGAGCGAGCTTTATGGTGATACTGGTAACCCCGCATGCCTAAAAATTGATGAGCGCCTGATTTCCCAACAATGCCTCACATCTTACTTTTCTGATCCAGCAGCCATCCGAGTTCGAGCCTGTAGGCCTGAAAGGGAGAGGGACTCATACCCTTATCACCATCGGTCATTCGGTCACTTACTTTAGTTGATAAGACAGACACCCTTTTCTCTGTCGGTGAATCAGTAAACAGACTAAGATGATGTAATAGTAATCTTCAAGGAAAAGGGATCCCTTATAGCCATCTGTCATTCATCTTCGTCAGCATGAGGAACACTTTTTCCTTTGCCTGCCAGTCAGACAATCAAATATCCTCGTCGTTATCAGTCAACTTCCTAAATTTACCCTCCACCATCAGAGAGCCCATCTCGTAACCTTCACCCGAGCCTGCCCGCAGTCCATTCCGCCCCACGTGGCTCGGTGACTCACCATCACCACCACTATAACAGTTTTCAACTCCCACCTTGCGAAAACCTCCATACTCGCCGGCCGCCGCATCTTTCCCGGCCGCGCCCTCACCCACATCATCACCAGCGTCTGTCGACACGGCACAAGGGACCGCATAACCCTGCCCGCGCAACCAATTAGAAGCCAGACGAAACACCACGCTGACGGCCAACGTTACGGCCAGCGAGACCAACATGGAGAACGTCCGGAACGGGAAAAGATGTTTGCCCTGAGCCTCATCATAGATGAAGAAACGCAGCCAGACGGGCATGTTTATGATGGGCTCCCCGGCGCCGATTCGAAGAACCAGACCGACCAAGTAGCCCGCGACCGCTCCCACAGAGTTGCAGAGTTTGGGCAGGTAGAGGACAGCGGTCAGCTGAGGGAAGATGATGACGAACACGATGTCTGCCGCCAGGATGAACACGCCGTAGATGACGCTGGACCACAGGGCGATCGCCATGGCAACGGCGCCGAAGAAAACGATGGACACAATCTGGACCAGCCGTAGCTCTCTGTTGGAGGCCTGTAGTAAGGAGTAGTTACCGAGAGAGAGAGTTTATATTGCATTCCACATTTTTTTTTGTGAACACATTGCCAGGCTCACAGCGTGACAAATCTTTTTAGCGAAAATATTTATACATATTCATACAGTCGAACCTGCCATGACAGCATGATGGCCACCTCTATAAGACGGCCACTTTCACCTCTTTTCCTCACAACCTTGCATTTTTTCTATATATATATAATTTCATTGTGTAAAACGGCCACCTGTCCAACGCAGCTGTGGCCACCATACTTTAACACACATCCCCTATGACACCAAGCAATAACCCCTGTCTTAAACGGCCACCTTAGTGACTCCATTACGTTTTGTCATAAATTATGCATTGGCCCCTGGCATTGTGGGCGAGCCGTCACAATCCAATCACCAGCCATTGTTGTTAGGTAGTCCCTCCAACCGATCATGTTGTGTTGGCCCCTCCCACAGTAGACCAAAAGATAACAAATTTTCAGCTGCTGTTGAGGAGAGCATGTGATCCCTCATAACCCATAAGCCCCCACCTAGAACTCAAACCGTAAGTGAGATGAGTGGTCACTGTTTACCCAGTCTGTACCAAAGCAACAATGAATATCAACATGAACTTGCGACAGAAGCATCGCTCATTCTCTGAGTGGTGGCGACCCATGTGCTTGTTTTAACATGGCATTCAGTCTTGTCTTACGCATTTCATTTTATTGTCACCCTTGCACAAAAGCAGCAACAAAATAAAAAAGCAAACAAAAAAACAAAACAACGAAAACAACAACAACAACAGTGCAGCTACCTTCGGTTAGGATCTAAAAAAGGAATGGTTTGTTTTCTTCATCTTAATCCGTCCTGCCTAAGACGGCCACCTGTCTTACATGACCACTTTTCTCCTTGACAATGGGTGGCCGTCTTACACAGGTTCGACTGTATATAAAAATAGTTTTACGTACACAAATGAACATTAAGTTTTTAAATGAGATATCTTTACGAACGTAAAGCGCATTTAGTACTTTTTATAAAATGGAAATGCGCAGCATAAATGTTATTAATTATTAATATTATTAGCTTAGCTTTAGTAAGTGTTTTACGCCATTCGCAACTGCATAAGGTCATATGAACGCATGAAACATTTAACATTTTCAGTCGGTAGGAAATTTGAATTTTGCTCAGGTGGCGACCGAAGTCTACTCTTATCAATTTTGGACCACAAAGGGATCTTCAACGCGCACAATGTGCACAACTTGCACAGGGGACCTCCGAGATTTTTTGCCCTTGTCGGAGGAGGCTAGGTGTAGATCTTTCCTACCATAAGATCAGGGGTGTGGCTGAAAGACAGCAGTTAGAAGGGAGTAGCAGTAGAAAGGCTGCAGAAAGAGTCAGGAGCCCGGAGGAGGGGGCAAAAGGGGTGAGGGCTGGGGGCAGAAAGTGGAGTCGATAGCAGACAACAGAACATTGCTAGAGAGCAGGAAAAGAGGTGAAAGGAGACAATTTTAAACAAGAAAAATTTCCATCGCTATCTGAATTGGAACCCGGGACCTACTGAATGAGAGTAGTTTTAGTAAGTTTTTTACGGCACTTGCAACACAATAAGGTCATATAAGTGCCGAAGATAAGAGGTGTTACAAGAGAGTACAAACAGAAAAAAGAAAGGGAGATAATGACGATATAGATATTCGATAGGAAAGAAGAAGCAAACCACATCAGAGCAAATGCCAACCACCCACCCACCCACCTATTGAATGAGAGGCAAAACCTTAGCCCCTAGGCCACGAGAGCCCCCCCAGTGAGGGTTTTACAGCATTTTTGCAACACAAATAGGTCATGGAAACGCTGAAGATTAGAAGTGTTACTAGTAGAGAAGAGTATACAAAGAAAAGAGTTAGTTGTAGTAAGAGTTTTACAGCACTTGCAACACAATAAGGTTATATAAGTGCCAAAGATTAGAGGAGTCACAAGAGAGTAACAAACACAAAAAAG